CCTTAATTCAATCACAACAAGAGTTCTACAAATCCAAATGACTTGCAAGAGGACATTCTGAAAGCTTATGAAATTCTCTACAAATCATTTGTAAATATCAAAGCATGATTCTTAAGTTAACCAAATCGAATTCTAGTAAACCTAGAATCTGTCCCGCAATGACAGGGTTACTAACTTAATTATTTAATGATGATGCAAAAGCCTAATTTGACCAAACCAAGTTTACCAACTTGTTACACATACCAAAGGAACACTAGAAAGTATAATGCTAACTTCTAAATAAATTATTTAATATCCTTTTCCAATTTATTTAGTTAATTAGGTGATTAAAGCAATATATAGTAAAATTATTCATAAAAATCTACAAAAATTACAGTAGCTATCTCATGCTTCACATAGACTACCATAAAATTTTCAAAGGCATTGAGCAAGCAGAACTTGTTGTATCCAAAATAACAGGTGGCATGCCTATTTTTAGCATAATTAGGAAACCCTAATGAAAAGTGTCGAGCAATAGATTTTACATTTTTCCTAGCATCATTCTAACATAAGAACCTTACTCACCAAATTTTACCTATACTGGAGCAATAGAAAAATTATGAAAATTCACACAATATCCATCCATTGATAAATAGAAATTCTATAACTCAACGACTATACATGCACTAGCTCTGAAATTTTGACCAGAGCTTCTACTAAGCAATAATAGATTACCCACAAAATTTCATATTTTTTGGACCACAGAAACTCAAGATAAAATTCAAACAAGTTTGCATGCATCTCAAAACACATTTCAAAGTCCTATTTCATTCATCCAAAATTTCTAAAACATGTGCTCATATAATATTTTTATTAAATACTAGACATTACTAGGAACTCAACAAAATTGGAACCATAGCATTTGGATCTACCAAACTTGAGTTACACATTTTTTAATCATGCACACAATTCTGTGAAAAACAAAATAAACAAAACAAAACAAGAAATCATTTCACTGCTGTTGGGCCGGCCCGAGGACACGACGGCCCACCCCAGCGCCGCATCAAGCTGCCTTGACGCAAGGCAGCGTAGCCCAGCCAGTGCTCTCGCTTTGAGCCTCGGCGGTGACAGACAAATGGACCCATGCGTCGGGAGAGAAATAGGGGAGGCGGCCTCGGCGGCAGGTGGAACTCACGACGACGGCGACTCCTCGGTGAATTGACAAAGACCGGCGTGCTCCCCAAGTTCCCACGTTGATTGACCTACAAATCCAAAGCTCTAGCGGTCCTTAAGTGCTCGACCACGGAGAGCTCGGCGACTTCGACCATGGCGCATGGCGCGGCGGCGCTTCGGCCGTGTCCGTGGCGCCAGGCCGGACCGGCATTGGTGGTAGCCTTTACACTCAAGCATCTACACGTGATGGAGAAGACTAAACACGAGCTAAGAAAGGAGGAGGGGAACGGTGCCATGCTAGCCACGGTGAGGTCACCGGCGCGGCCATGGCGCAGCGGTGTCAGAAAGGTCACAGCGACCTTACCCAAGCGCCAATGGCCCGGCTAAGAGGTGGAGAAGGTCGCGAGGAACACCGTGGAGCTACGGTGAAGACGTAGCGCGCGTTTTCCTAGCGGCGCTCGAGCTCGGCGACGGCGAAGCAGGAGCGGCAATGGCGGAGCGGCTGCTTGCGGCTGCGCTTGCTGTGGTGAGCAGAGAAATGAAAATGGGATGGCGAAGCGGTCGAGGCGCGTGCGCGGCTTCAAGTGGAGGACACCGCGCGGCGTCGGGCCCGATCATGGCGCGCGTGGCTTCTTGTGGTCGGGCGACCGACGGCGACGCAGCGTCCCCACGCGTCGGGTGTTTTCTGAAATGGAGATCACTGTAGCTCGCCTGATACATCGATTTAGTGATCCAACGACCGACTGACAGCGTACTTTTGATGATCTATAACTCCCAAACGGTGGCGATCTGGTTCATGGTGTAGTTAACAAAATTAAAGATCCAAGTGAGTACAACAACTTTGTTAATTGGAGCTTGGACTAATTCGGTTAGGATTGGGAGATACAAGCCTCCAAACAGGGATACTCGAAACTGAAAATCGCCAAAACGACTTAGAAAAATTCTAAGTGTGAATTCAGCATGGAAATCTGACTTGTGGGCCATGTTTGACCATGTTCCACACATTTTCATGAGTTGACCATAAAACAACTTTTGTTCCTTGATAAATTAGCTACAACTTTTGTAAAGAGTGTACAGCCATGCAAAGTCTCTAAGTTGGACTTTTGAATCAGTCAAACGGTGACACTCCATGGTCAATTCAAGTCAAACCTTCACTTGAGGGCATTTTGTCATTTTGATCTACATGAACAATGTCCAAACAATTACCCTAAGTGTAGTTAAGGTGTATTAGGCCATGATCAACCACTTTACAAAATTGTTATACCACTTCTAATGATCACATGTGATAAAGAAATTAAAAACAAGCAATTCATTCATATGTTTCAATTCCATGTTTCACATGTTTCAGGACCTTGTGGTTATTTTATACTTGTCATATTACTACCATGTTGCCATGTTTCATGGTATAAGAAACTCAGGTTGCATTCACATGTTACACCATTACTATTCACAACACTCAAGTATAAAACATACACAATTGGAAAATGTTGCATATGCATGTTTCAGTAACAAAGGCATGATGAGATAGATGATGCACATGTTTATGAAATGAAATACAATTAGTGGAAGCCAAACACCTAGGGTGTTTCACCTCCTATCGGATGTGGCCGCGCTCATTGGGAGCCCCTCCGCCTCCTTCCAGGGGGAACATGTGTCATTCACAGACTCGGAGAGCTACTCTGACTCGGAGCCCCCTTCACCGCCGCCTCCGGGAAGGGGCAAGGCCGTCGCGGGTGCTTCCGGTCGTCGTCGGCGCGCGCGTCACCGGTGTCATCGCCCCAGGGTGGTCGATGGGTTCATGGCGGCGACCAGGCGCGCACACCCTCAAGCCACCTCGATGGCCGTCTCTTCGCCTACCTCGCCGTGTCGTCACACTTCTCCGTCTATGCGCCCCGCTCGCGCCCTTGCGGTGCCGGATGCGGACGGGTTTTATGAGGTTCGCAGTCGACGCCGGTGGCGCCGTCGCTCACCGCTGAGGGAGTCGCGGATGGTCCCCGTCGAGCTGTAGGGGATTTGCTTCAACTGTCTTGCTATCAATCATGTCAAGCGGGATTGCGTCTTCCCAGCGCGGTGCTTCAATTGCCACCAGGAGGGCCATCGCTCGTTTGTCTGCCCCCTTCCGTCGGGCCGAGGCAAGCGGGCCCGCTTGTCGCCGCATGCGGGTCACAGTCGGAGGTCGCTGCGCGCCGACCTGCCCAGCGACATCGGCGTGCGGGGTCCGTGGGCACGACATCCGCACATTCGGTCTCGACTGGCCGCTCCCCGTCCGTGCCTAGGTGTTGCGCCCCGCCGACTCCGCCCCCTCGGCCCCTGGTTGAGTCCCCGCCCCCCTGGGGGGCGCCCCTGGTAGCCCCCATGGGGGAGCCTCCTGGTGACCGCCTGGGTCGCCTACGTCGCACTGAGTTCGTCGTCATCCTGCGGTCTGCGGAGTTGTAGGCGGCTGAGGACGCACTCGGCCTTGCCCCTCGTCGCTGCTGTCGGTGGCACTAGGCCCGCGGTGTCACCCGCCATGGTCAGCCACTACCTCCTCGAGCGGTTTGACCTGACGACGTATGATGCGGAGGTTAGTCGCCACGACCCGGAGGATTTCGTCGTTCGCTTCCGGCGTCGGGAGGATAGGGACCGTGTCCTTGCCGCCCCGGTGATGGGTGCCCCACTTCCTCTAGTCTGGCAGCCATGGAGGCGTACCTCGATGGCTAGTGCGGGCTCCTTCCGATTCACTATGCTGGTCGGCATGACTCGTGCCCCCTCCATGCGCGGAGCGCCTCCACCTCGGCCCTTCTTTTTAAAGTAAGAACAAATTTATAGAAAAGAACTCTGAAAATTTATGGCGTCAAGTTAGTATCATTAGATACATTATAAACTATTTTTCACAATGTGCTCATCAGTAGTTGTCATTTGATACGCTGTAACCTAACTTTATAGAAAAGAACGCTAAAATTTATGACACCAAATTAGTATCGTTAGACTATAAATTATCTACAGGTCCGCTGAATGTTGGCAATGGAACTTCATCGGTAGCTTTGCAGACTACGACATCAATCCCCCTTATGTTATTGTGGTCCAAAACTATTGTAGTTAATTATAAAAGATGGTAATATCATATGTTCTGTTCTGGCTTTATATTCCACTAAGGACAATTCAATCCATCATCTAGTATTGTTTGGACTTTGTACCTTTCAAAGAGTCACTGATCCGAACTGTTCTGTATTCCAAGGAGCATTGCCAAAACTTGGATTGTAAATGTTAAGAGAGTACACACACTTCATCCTCCTTCCCAAACAAAAAAAGAAGATTGTATTATTGAAGACTACATTGATATAAGCAAATTATTGAAAGTTGCATTTCTAAAATTAATTACTATTGTTTGATTAATACATTTATTCTTTTAAACTTGATTAATACATTTCTGATGGATCTAGAATGTCGCGTTGTATTTTCTTCCATCCTCAAGGACTAGTTTTTTTATAAGGGGAACCCTCAAGGGCTAGTGATCTTTAGCAGGTTTTTTTTTTTTAGGGGAAGTGATCTTTAGCAGATGAGCCGCCCAATGTTCACTGGAAAACTTTTCCGGCCTGCACCAGTAAGCATCGGGCCGGCCCAACTAGTTGGATATTTTACTCCTCTCGCATTCGCCCCGGCCACGGATGCTCCGTTGAGCCGAGCGTACGTGCGTCGTCCAGAGCGCAGACGGGCAGACGGCAATGCAGGCCCCCGCGCGCTCCTCCGCTCCATCCTCGCCGCTAGTCTCCTCCGCGCCACCGCTACCTCCAGGGCCACAACGCGTCGCCGTCACCTCTCTCCGCCGCCGTGATCTCCTCCTTCTCCCGGCGGCGCTGACCCTCCCGATGGCGCCCGCCCCCTTGCCTGCGTCGGCGCGCGGGCTGTTCCGCATGCCCCCGCCGCGGCTGGCGAACCGCTACTTTCTGGTGCGCGCGGGTGAGTCCGTGTACGAGGGGCAGGGCCTCCTCCGCACCAACCCGGTCGCCAAAGACCTCCGTCGACAGCGGCCTCTCCCCCGTGGGGCTCTGCCAGACGGCGCGCGCCGCGCTCGAGCTCCAGCGCCTCGGCGCGTGCGAGGACGACTGCTGGATATGGCCGTCCATCACGCAGCCGCGCGGCTCAGTTCGGCTGGTGTATAAGCCGGTTGAGTTACGCCTGATTTACTAAAAATACTGTACCACGTCCGCTAGCCGAACAGAGCCGTATAATGTTTCTTTACAAGACAGCAAGGATACAGTATCTTTTCAGGTTCAGATGTTGGCTTACTTGCTTCATCATGAACCAAACTATTGTCAGATCAATGATTAATGCTTTTTTACACTGCCAAATTAAATAGCGATAATGGAATTTCAGTAGATACATAAAAATGCTGGGCTTACGTCATGTTCGTTTGGGTTTGTTTGGCTGAAAGTACTGTTGGCTGATTTGTTGTGAGAGAAAAATACCGTTCGTTGGCTGAAAAAAGTACGGCTTATAAGCGAAACAAGCCCAAACGAACAGGGCGTAGGCATGAATTAATAGTCAATTTTTTTACGAATGTGTATCCTCCTAAGATAATGGATTCCTACTTTTCAATTACTTTAATTGAGCTGCATGCTCTAACATTAGATAGTTTTTGCAACAAATTTACCCCTATTCTGACTGAAGTATGCTTTTCTTGGCATGATGGCTGCATTAGGTGTATGCGTCAGATAACATTTCTCCTGACATGAAGCCGCCTCCTATCAGTGATGGTACTCCAAATGAGAGCGTAGCAGACGTATTTGTTCGGGTGACGCAGCTCATGTCAATGCTGGAGACTCAGTACTCAGGGGAAACTGTTGTCATTGAGCGCCTCGTTATTAACTTTGTTGGTTTGGTTCAAATTTGACCAAAATAGTACCAATGTTGTTTTTCTCTCACAATAAACCAAAGACCAACCAAATTTTTAAACCAGGTCCGTAAAAACCAACCAACGAACAGGCCGATTGTCTCTCCAGATTCTGACAACTTGTCAATCCTTCAAGCTGGATTAATTGGGCTTGACCTTCGAAGGTACAGTAAAAAGTAGTAACCTGACTAACTCTAGTGTACTACTCGGTATTGCACTTGGTATTCAAGTCTTTCTCTGGTGAACAACACTTCACATTCTTCATTTGGTTCTTAGGAAAGTTTTCTTACTCTTAAACATAACTTGGGTCAGATAATTTTGATTTGTTCATATAATGTTTACGCACATAAAACGGTCTTCAGGTACTGTTGCTAACTGAAGTCTTGAAGGGAACCATGTCTTAAGTGTTTGATGCCACTTCTGCAGGCATAGCAGCTTATTTTTTCAGAGCAACCTCCTTCTACTGTTTTTAAATGTGCACATCCGCCAAGTTGTAAAGAGTAGTTCACTTCCTGACCCTACAGTTCATATTTTCTGTGCGTGTATAAATGTACCCATGACAAATGTCTTGGTGATAATCGTATATAGCTGAAACCTGAAAGTATGTTTTATGTGTCACAAATTAGTGAGTCACATTGCGATTGCATGGCACTTTTGCTGTACAGTGGATCGCTAGTTCTTTAGCGACGCATAGTCTGATTGATTATATTCTTGTAATGATAATAACAGTAATTGTATATAAAATGAGCTTCATGCAAATGTGTGCCGTACGATTTGCGAAGTAAATCAAGGCTTTTATTTTAAGCCCCGCATTCCCAAATTCTCATGTGTGATCCTAATGACAATTTAATCCCACGAGCTTAGACGCACGTTTGGTTCGTACCCTCGGGTGCCAAGCTAAACTTTGGTCATGCCCGGCTTACTTGACTAGTGTTCAGCACTAAATTCGGTGGTGCCGTTGTGCCCAGATAAATTTAGTAGGCCCATCTGTCAAATAGTATAGCGCATTGCAGGCAAACGTCCCGCGTCCGGCCCGACAATTTGGGCGCCCCAAATTAGGGCGCGTTTAGATGAAATTTTTTTGGGTTTTGGCTACTGTAGCACTTTCGTTTGTATTTGGTAATTAGTGTTTAATTATGGACTAATTATGTTTGAAAGTTTCATCTCGCGATTTCTTACCCAACTGTGCAATTAGTTTTTTTCGCATACATTTAGTACTCTATGCATGTGCCACAAAATTCGATGTGATGGGTACTGCGTAAAAAATTTTGGGAAATAAACAGGCCCTAAGCTCAACCATGCCAAAGGAACACCCTAACACGTCAGCTTTGAGGTGGTCGCAATAAAAATGCATTTTGTTCGATCAAACACCCGTTTGGTAGGGTCTGGCTCTGGAGCATCTTCTCTAGTGAAACTAAAGCCGTTTTGAAAAACTTTGCCAAAAATGGCTTTAGTAATAGTTTGTACTAGGTTTACGAGGAGTTGAGAGAAGCTTTTCTGGTTCCAACTCCTTAATTCAAAAACAGCTCTTGCTCCTTGAAGAAGCCCTTTTTTATGGCCATTTGGTATGACTCCTTTCAAGAAGTCGTAAGAAATCGGATCAGAGCTGTGTCAAATAGGGTATAAATGTATTTATTAACGACCTGTAAAATATAATATTTTCTAAATCATACATCCGACTTGTGATCCATTTAGAGTTTTAGACCACGGTGTTCCTTACAAAAATAATCTGAAAATCAACATCCCTATTAACCATAATTGGATATAATAAAAATAATTATTCATAGATTCAGCCCGTCATGCGCATAGGTATAAGAAAAATGGACATATTTAGGATTTTATTAGCTTATTAATCATCATCCAAATATATTTGGTATAACTAATTTCTGCACATTCCTGATTTGGCTATGGCTGAATTTTAACTTGGCCCCAACATCAAATTCAAACATGCGCTCAGCTTTCTCGCTGCCACATACTCCTGAAGAAGCATTCGATGAAGGCACAACGTTAACACGCGCAACCTATCGTCTACCTCGCGCTCGCGCTCGTCCTCGCCCTGCCCCCGCCCCACCCCACCACTGGCGGCTGGCGGCTCCCGCCGTTTCACCGTGCCGCCCGCCTCCCGCCCTCGACCCTGTCCTCCTCTAACCTCCGCCGCGACACTTTCATCGGCGTCGTCCTCGCCCCACCCTCGCCCATTGACCATGCCCTCCCCTAATCCCAGGGCAGGTCGTCGATGACCTTCGCCGCGACACCCCTGCCGACAACCCTGCCCAACCGCCTTCTCCCGTCGCCCCGCCCCACCGCCGTCTCGCCCGCCTCCACCGCCGTGTCGTGGCCGCCATCCCCAAACCCCTTCTAAGGCCGTCGGAGAATCTTACCTCGAAACCCTAACGTTGGTTAGCTCCTGCCGGAACCCTACGCCGCCGCCGTCTCCTTCTTCGTCGGCGCGGGCGTGGGCACATCCGCGGGCTAGATGGTCACGTAGTAAACTTTGTCCGATGAACCTCTCATAACCTGGTTGCAACTACCAATTGTCCAAAGAGGCCTAGTTTGGCCGGTAAGAATAGACGGTGCACTATTGGTATCACGAAAAGTTAGCTTTTGATTGGACATAATCGATCTATTGACATGATTCAATGAGGAAAGGACTGAATATTCAGGTAAAATTATCATTAAAATCAGACTGTGCAGTTAATTAGCAGTGGAGCGACATTGCTATTGAATTGTTTTAATTGTTATAATGACAGTTCAACCGAAAGACACTGACGGATCCACTCCGCAGTCTCCCACTCGTCGTCACTCCGCAGTATCAACTGGCCTCGGTCGCACAAATCCCCCACTCCGCAGTCCCCGACGGCCGACGGCACAGCCACCAGCAGCCCCAGCCATCGAGCAAACGAGCTGCTCCATGGCCTCACCAACCCGAACACCGCCGCCTCCGCCGGCGGTAGAACCCATCGCCCCTTCTTCTCCTTCTTCAGAACATCCGGCTGTCAAATCCTCGTCTGACGGATCCCTCTCGCCGGAGAACCCAGCGCCAGCTCCACCTCCTCCTCCTGCTACTCCGCCTCCTCATACTCCCGGCGATAGCTCTCCTTCCTCAACTCCGCATCCCTCGGCGCCTCAGCCTCCTCCTCCGCCTCCGCCTCCGCCTCCGCCTCCGCTTCCGCCCAGCGCTGATGCTTCTCCACCCCTCCCGCGACAGGGCCAGACGTCACCGCCGCGCCCACTACCCCCTCCCTCACCCGCTCCAGCATCACCGCCTACTCCAGCGCCGGCGTCCTCGGAAGCCAAGTCGGAGCAGGAGGCGGCGGAATCGGCTACCGAATCGGGGAGCATGACGCTAGCCGTCGTTCTAGCCCAAACTGAAGATTCGACGCCGCGGAAGGCCTCCTCGGCCGAGGCGTCCCCAGCCGGATCGCCGCAGAAGGAATCGGCCGTCACCATCGCGAAGCTCCTCTCCGGCGAAGACCCCGCGGCGACGGAGGCGAAGGCCACGCCGGACAAGGACAAGGTTACACCTCCGAGCGACACTGGGTCACTCGCCGCGGCCGCCGCCGTTACTGCCGTTGGGGGAGTCGGAGGCGGCTTGGGGTCCAAGAGGTGGCTCCTTGGCGGCGTCCCGGAGAAGGTGCGGCGCGCGGAGCTGAGGAGGGCCGAGCTAGGGTTTAGGGTTTCAGCCGCCGTGTTCTGCCTGGTCGCGCTCTCCGTCATGGCCGCCGATACCACGACGGGCTGGTCCGGCGATTCCTTCCGCCGCTACAACGAGTACAGGTTTCCCTCTGGACTCCTAGAGCGCTGATCTCAGTTAAAACCTTCTTCATTAGTCACAGCTGCCGTTTCTTATTAGTGTTGATGGGAGCTGAAAATTGGTGAATTTTGGCGATGTAGGTATGTACTCGCTGCGAGCGTCCTGGCTTTTACCTACTCTGGATTCCAGTTGGTAGCCGAGGTGCATTACCTTGTTACAGGGAGGCGCATGATTCGAGCCCCATTCCGCAGCTACTTCAATCTTGCCATGGATCAGGCAAGCATGAGTAAACTGCTATTCTGCTCTTCTGTATTTGTGTGTTGTTGGGAACCATACCATGAATTTATGATAGCACGATTTCACAAGCTTATGGCCATTTAATAATTGCAAAACTAAATATAGTTGCACAAATTGGATGAACTATTGCAGCAATTGTTTTCTTATAAAGAAATCCTAGATTGTGGATGAACGCTAGGTGGCAATTATCGTTTCCCGACTGGTATATGTCTATATCATTATTGTTCCTACCGGATTTGGTTTGGTATATGCCTATTTTGTTTAGTTGGTATAAACATTGTACAGATACATTACAGTGCGTCATCAGGTGCAAGTAAAAGAGTTGTTCCATGAATTGATAAATAACACCTTTCCAGTTCCTCCAACTTCAAACATTTGTCATGATAAGGGAACTTTTCAGAAATGAATGAGATTGGTGCAGTGCTTGAGGTTTTGACACATTTATGACTAATAACTATGGACTTTGTGTGCTTATGGATCACCTGATTCGCCACCAAAGTCATGTTGTTTAGATGTTCCTTGTACAATGCATGTATATCAATTTGTTCTACATTATATTCTTTCCTTTGGAATTCGCCAGACCATTTTTTCAGCAATGTATTGCAGTCTCCACAAATTCCTGTTTAACCATGTCTCGGACATTCATTTTTTGCTTTTGCTACTAGTTTTGAGCTTGCAACTTGGCTTAAAATTTGTTAGTGACCAAAATGTGTCTGAATGGGTTTTTCATGCTATTGCAGATGTTAGCTTACCTCCTATTGTCAGCATCTTCAGCAGCACTTTCTCGTAATGGTGTTTGGATGTCTCGGTTTGGAGGGGATCAATTTACCAAACTGATCAATGCCTCAGCTTCCATGGCATTCCTAGCTTTCATTGCTCTTGGTCTTAACTCAGTCATCTCTGCTTACTGTGTCTTCAGCTTGGTTTCATAGAGCTACCGTTGTGCATTGCATGATGTGAATACTACTTCCTGTATGCTTCTTGGGTGTCACTGAATCTTGATTCATGTGAAATTTCTACATGATTTCTGTGAAATCTCTAAGTTCCAAAGTGGGCTTAATCTCTACAACTTGGGCATATTGTAGCAGTACTTTGAGTCAAGGTTGGCTTTTAAAATTTTGAAGTGGCTGTACCAAGGTCTCATGCTGGTCGTTTTATACTGAAAGTCTGAAAGATATGCAACTTGGAGACCACTCCTACATATTATGATATGATGGTCAGCTCAGATGTGGCCTGGGCGCCTGGGCGTATCGGCATTTATTACACTCGCTCAAATCGATGTGCATCAGAAATATGCGATGCCATTTCGGATTAGCAGTTCCTAAGATCTAAGATATTCCTATATTCTAATGTTTGCGGGCTGGCTATGCGGTTTTGCACCATTATCATCGTGCCGTCTCTTCTTCCAGACGTGACAAGCCAACAATTTAATGCTGTCAGAAAACTTTTTACAGATTCGTACTGTTTTGGAGCATGAAATTCATGCACGCAAATCACATGTCTGAATTCCTCGGCGCTGAGATTTTAGATATAGCATTTTTTCCTCATTTTTTTGTTTGTTTGTTGTGTTTCTATTTTCATCCCATCGGCCCACCTCAATCCCTTTCAACCCAAACTGGTGGTTGCCGTATAAAATCGATTTTTTTCGTCCCTTTCATACAGCTGCCAAGATGAAAAATTATATGTTACCTACTTGAATTATTATTGTGATATGATTTTTCTCGTCGAACTCTCTAAAATCAGATGCCTTACCTCTTCAACTCTCAAAACTGTATGAATTACCTCATTGCCTAGGTTATAGAAGTGGTTTTCAAGGCACTTTTCTTCAACTTTTAGTTTAAAAATCCAGTAAATACCTTATAAATTTTTAAACCATAAAAATATCACTAAGTTTCTAAAAGTTCTAAGAAAAATCCTAAAGATATATTGGAAAATAAGACACCCAAATATAAATAATTTAAAGATCATGAAAATATCTCTAGAAGATTCCAAAAATTAGACTTAGCTCTACAAATAAAAAATCAGAAAAAACTAAATTCCCAAAAATTGTAGAGATGCTTTGTAAATCTCATTACTTTACTTGCATTGTCATTAATTCACCAAAAACCACAGAACAATTAGATGCATTTTCAAAATCTTTCCATAACAAAAATGCAAGATACAAGCAGCATAAACACATTCAACATTAATTAGATGTTGCATTTTTTTGCCAATCCTATTATATCTCATATTTTGCTATGTAATGTTTTTTAAAATGCATTTAGACACCAAATGTATTGTATTGAGAACTTTTCACATTTTGTTGGATATTTTTTTTCATTTTCCTTGAGCTAAATATATTACTTTAAAGTTTTTTGAGATATTTAATAAGCTCTAGATATTTTATTTGGGTTTGCCATGTCCCAATCTATCACTATAATTTTTCTTAGAATTTGTAGAAGCTTAGTGATATTTTTTGTGGTTTAAAAGTCTTATCAGACCACCTAGAGAATCACTTCTACATGGACATGGAGGTAGTTTAAATGGTTTGAGAGTTGAGAGAGTAAAATTTCTGATTTAAAAAAACAGAGATAAAAATTAGACCTTAATAATTAGTTCAAAGAGTTTGGACAAACGCCGTTATAATTCTCCGAGTTTGGAGAGTGGCATATCTTGGAGACCATGGCATTTTTTTTAGCAAAATAAACTTCTTCTAATTGATTGACCACAGTCCACAAGCAGGCGTCCAACGTTGAGGCCCAGGCCCATCCCCTCAGCTAACCATACGCACAGGGCGAGCTCTATAGCCAAGAGCCCAGGACGACGGAGGACCGCCGCCGCGAACCGCCGTCCGACTCGCTCCGCACCTCCAGTCCTCAACGCCGGCGCTCCTTACCGTCGCTGCAATGGAGTCGAGGAGGCCGGCGCCCTCTCCTCTCGTCGACAACTACGTGGTAAGCCTCCCAGCCCTATCCCGCACCTTGATCTCTCACTTCCGCTATCTGTGCGGGTCTGGTCATCATCTTACACTTCCGTCGCTGCCCTCGCTGCTCAGGTACCCGGTGACGTCGTCCTGGACCTCTCCGAGATGAACAACCAGACCATTAAGCTCGGCGCGGGCCTGCGTCAGGTAAGCCCTTTCATGGTGGAATGTGGGAGCCGTTGTCTTTTGTGAGACTTGGTGGTTAGGGTTTAATGGGGTTTATTTGGGCGCGAGGCTTATCGGTGATAAAACGGGGCTTGCAGGAGTGTGACACCATCCAGGCGACCAGTGCTGGGAAGCTGCGGCTGTTGAAACCCAACAAGTATTGGATTGAGAACTCCCAGAAGAGGGTAAGTCCGATTTGTCTCTGAGATGCATACATTATGTAAAAATTTGGTTGCTCTCGAGATACTTGCGTTAAGTATTTTATTACCATTGCTGTAGGATGCTGGTTGAATAGATAATTCATAATATATGTGGCCCTTTCTGTGTAAAACTGTAAATTGCTGAACTAATATGTTAGCCTAAAATGGACTGGGTTATGTTGACTCAGTGCAACAAAAATTTCAGCACTAACACACAAACATGAATTGGTCATTGCCACATTTACCTTCTATCGATTGATTATATGTTATTGCCATTTTAATAAACGTTTCGATTTTCATAACTTGAAATTAATCAGCATGAAAAGCTCTGATCTGGTCCCCTAATATCGTCTTAACTGTAACGTAGGAGACTGAGGATAGTGCTACTCTGTTCCACCCTCTTGTCTTGTGTTTCAGCAGTCACTCATTCATGTTCTTCAGTCACTCATTCATGTTCTTCTTTTTTGCAGTATATACCTTCTGTAGAAGATACAGTTCTTGGTGTTGTGGTTGACACCAAACCAGGACGTAAGTATACATTTACATTCAGAAGTATGTGAGTTAATACTTGTTTCTAGATATTTAAATCTGAGGCCACCATGGATCATGGCTGTCAAAATTACAATTATGTTTTACAGTTCTACATATTTGTGATCTTAATTAAAGGGCTTGATTCTACAATTCTAGTCAATAGAATATATGTTTTTTACAATCTTTATGTTTAAGATTTGTAATTGTGATCTTACAGAAAACTCTTTGATCTGGTTGACAACCTTTATGGAATCAGATAAAGAAGCACCATACCAAAGAAAAAAATAGCTGGTAGTATTGAAACATGGACAATCACTATCATATGACATACTACAACAGTACAACTACACAATCCCTTCTACTATAGCATTAAACTGCGTGAAAGTGGCAGAAATATTACTTGATTTGCTTGGTGGAGAAGCAATGTGGAATTGTGCTTCCTCAAAAAATGGACAAGTGTTGCAAAATGAAGGGGGGTTTTGTATATACAATGTCAAATCCATATATCCCTAGTACTGGCAAGATGATCAGCTGATTACCCTTTTCATACAGTTCTAATATACAAACAGAAACCAGAATGGGCTTTTGCTAGAAGCTAGATATTTGCTTTTTTATGTTAAATAATTGTATGTATTTTGCCTGTGATGTATTTTCTTTGCTGAAATAGCTTTGGTTATTACAGAACTTTTTGGTAGACATAAAGGGTCCTAATTTGGCCTTTCTACCGGTGCTTGCATTTGAAGGTGGTACAAGGAGAAACATACCAAAGTTCGAGGTAAGACACTGGATCATTTGAACTTTCTAGCATTGTTTAGTTTCATAGTTTTGTCAGTCTCTATACTTAAAGTGTGAAATGTGTATACAGTAGGCCACATGTGCAGTTCTTAACATATGTTCAGTAGCATGTGGATTGTTTTTTTTTTCTGTTCCAAATACTCCTTCCATTCTTTTATGCTTGATGTTTTAGCACTTTTTGCGCTCAAATTAAGAAAGAGTACAAAATAACCACATGCTTCTATTAAAGCTGTCTTTTTCTACTTCGTAATTTAAACTATTTCTCCTAAACTACGTACATTTGATGTTAGTTACTAATGAACAAGTAGATTTGAGTCTTTTAGATTGCCAATTTTTTACTTTGGTAGGAACATTTTAGGGAAGTAATAATGAACAAGTAGATTTGAGTCTTTTAGATTGCCAATTTTTTACTTTGGTAGGAACATTTTAGGGAAGTAAATTAGGTATGTTTCTTCTTAAAATCCTATAACATCAAATAAAAAGGAACAGAGAGAGTAAATGCTATAGTCAGGTCCTGAACATAGTCAGGTACGATAAAGGTGTGCGGCCTGCGCGCTGTTCTGGGCAGGTGCCCTGTAATGAACACTTGATGTGTCTGCGGGGGTTTTTTGGTAGTTTCAGCTTTATCGTTTTGGTTTGGTAAGTAGTGGGTGATCATGAGTTGGATCCCTGGGTGATCAACTCCACAATCACGATGGTAGTCAGGTAGTGGCGTTTCGTTCTCGTTAAACTGTGGAATCTTTGCAATTTTGTTACACCAGTAATGAAATTCGGCTATGGCCATTGTGGAAAAAAAAAGTTACTGAATATGTCTATGTCCACTGTGATTTCAACTCTGAGTGGTGCCATAAGTTGTTTCCATAGTGTTTCGAGCTTTATATTCTCTTTATTGATTATATATTTGTCTTACGATGGGAATGTTCCTGCAGATTGGTACGTTAATATATGCTCGAGTGGTGAAAGCAAATAGTATCATGAATCCCGAGCTCTCATGCATGGATGGTAATTTTTTTAACTTACAGCTCAGTGTCCATTTTCCTTAATTGTCCATCAGAAGTATGGAGTACCAAATTTTATTCATCTTAGCAAAGCAAATATATCCTCATTGCTTGTGAGAACCTTTCAGCTTGTGGGATGATACTCAGTCTGGACCGTTTTCTTTTGGCTTTATCTGATCGTTCTTTTACTGTATTAATACTGTTCCTAATTTCAAGCTTCTGGGAAAGCTGCTGAATTTGGTCAGCTGAAAGATGGTTATATGTTTGACACATCAACTGGCATGTCACGAATGTGAGGATAATACACCTCGCCCTCCATTGAATCACTAGCATTGTTTTTTTTTTGTTAGATTTTGAGTTTTTGACTTTAGTTGCTTATAGGTTGTTAAGTTCGCCAACATGTCCAGTTCTGGAGGCCCTTGGGAAAAAACTGTCGTTTGAGATAGCTGTTGGACTCAATGGTCGAGTCTGGGTATGTTCCAGCTACTGTTCATTGATCATGATTTTTTATCCCACCTTTTTTGTTAAATTGTAAATGGTAATGTTTCTTGTGTTTTATTTCTTGGTTTATATTCTGTAGGTGAATGCTCCTGCGGCAAGTACTGTCATTCTTGTATCAAATGCAATTATGAGGTCAGAATCTTTGAGTGGCATAAAACAAAGAGCTATGGTAGAAAATCTCTTGGAGAGATTGTCATGATGGTAAGTCAGCAGGTATTAGTCATTTAGTCCAAAGTAAAATGGGGGAGTTTCCATTGTGTCAGTTCAAAGTAAAAGTAGAAAAGTTTGAGATCAAAATGGCTGTCCACATCAAAGATTATTATGTATCACGTGTAGTTGTTATGACCGGCATCCCCTACAGCCGTCGCAGCCCAGCTAAGGGCTAGGAGGGAAGCCGGCCATCAAAGGGCTATGGCCCATATAATTGTCGCAATTATAGTATTGCTAGAGGGTTATTTTATAATTATCGCTATTAGAGAGACATATAAATATTTGTAAGACTCTATTTGTGAGATTAAGCAGAAACATATTATTGTTTCCGGCTTCCTCGAGGAGCCGGAGAAACCCTAGCCGGGTGAAACCTAGCCGACTCTACTGTTCACGCGTGAACAGTGCCGCCACTACTGTAGCTGCGCGAGGTTGGGGCTACAGCCGCGGCCGCCCATCCTCCACCACGGCGTCCACCACGGCGAGGTTCCCACTGTTCCACCTCCCTCTCACCCCTAGAGACTCCGTGATCTACGCGGTAGGATCCGTAATCCTATCAACTTTGGTATCGGCGTTGCACGGTTCGATGACGATCGCTCCTCCGAGTTCCTCCATCCCGGTGACCACTTTCGCCGCCGACCATTGCGCGTCGTCGGAGTTGTCGGGGCGTCCAACGCCTCTGCCCGACCCCGACGTTGGAATCGGCTGGGGCCAAGGTTGATCTGATCGCCAACGCGGTGGTCTCCATCACGCGACGGCGTGGGCGGCTGCTCCAGCGCCTCCACCGCCGCCGCTTCCCGCGCCACCACTTGCCTCACGCCCGGGTGCCCACGGCACCGATCCCCATCAAGCGCCCGGCGACTTCCTACCCTACGGCATGCCGTCGGCGACGGGGCGGAGTTCCGCTCCATCTGTTGCAATGGCCGGGCCTCGCCGTCACATTGCCTGATTATTGCTGCGCGCCGCCCGTGGCGCGTCGCTCCGCTCTACTCGATAGCCACGTCGACAACCCCATCACCCTCCACGACGATCGCGACAACAGCCGGGTTCCAACCACCGCCTTCCGCGGCGGTCCTCTCTCTGGGGGTGGGCGGCTCGGCATTGTTCTTGAGCGCCTTCTTCTTCGGGCGGCCAGGCGGCGGGGGCCTTGACCGGGCCTTGGTGTCTTTGCCCTCGCCGAAGCGCCTGGCGGGGTCCAAATTCTACAAATTGGAGTTTCCCTCGTCGATGGCTCGGTAGACCCCACAATTGGTTGAACCAAAGTCGAAAGGCGATTCTTCCGGTCGTGAGACGCTTAGCATCCGCGCGCGCACATGGCTCGCGTCCTACCATCTTCGGTGTCTTTGCCGGACATGGTACTACGCCTCGGAGCGGGGCGAGGCATGCCCCTTGGGAGCCCTTCCGCGAGTTATGTTCGCTCCGCTTGGGCCCCCTGCTACAGGCACACACGGTTGGCGGAGCTTGCCCGCCTTCCTTTTGTTTCTTCCGCAGGATTACTCGGGCGCTACAATGCCATCCGTGCCACGCCTGCAACCTCTCCGCTTCGCCAAAAGGCGGAGTTATGCGTTGGCGGGTGCCGGACCAGCTCCGCAAGCATGTTCACTCACGCGCCGTCCGACCTCCAAACCGCCATGTACTTGCACGGCGTTCGAGGATTGCGTATCTCCACCGCCTGCACCCTCGTGGCGCCCGGCCGCCCTACGGTCAACTCAGACTCGCGCGGCGGACGCCGAAGCGGTCCTCCACTGCGGCGCCGCTCCCTACACCGACATTCCGGCGGCGCCCACTTTTCGTCGGCTCTCTCCGGACAAACAACAGAGCGCGCCCGTCGCCAGGGTCAGTGCTTCAAGCGTGGCGAGCCCTTACGTGCACGGCACGCGTGTGCAGCGCCTCTTCTACACGGAGGTCGACGACTACATCGTGGAGACTCCGTGGAGGCAATCGAGACACCCGCCAAGCCGAGTTAGCCGCCCGGAGATGGCTGCCGTTAACGCCCTTGTGGTCTCCTCTCGGTCATTGCGGTATTCGGCGCCAACTCCATGCCGCCGCCGTCGTCATCAAGCGCGCAACTTCGCTGCCCTCCTCGACACGGGCTCCACCCATAACTTCGTGTCGGGGGAGACCATGCGCCGCCTGGGCCTCGTTCCGGCGGGCGGGCAGCGCCTGCGGATCACGGTGGCCAATGGCGACCGCATGCCTTGTGAGGGCATCGCGCGCAACGTGCCCATTCGCATCTACGACGAGGACTTCGCCATCACGTGTGTCGGCCTCAACTTGGGCGGATTTGACTTCATCATGGGCTTCGACTTCATCCGCACCTTGGGCCCCATACTATGGGACTGCGAGGCCCTCACCCTGTCGTTTTGGCGCGACGGCGGCCGCGTCACCTGGCAGGGAGTGGCTGGGGCGGTTGCACCCTCTCCAGCCCCCTCGACACATTCGGCGCAGTACGCCCCCCCCACGGCAGCTTCTGGGGCGTCCTCCTCCAAAGAAAGACGCCGTCGTCTTCACCGAACCCACGGGTCTTCCGCCGGCGCGAGCGTACGACCACCGCATCCACTTGCTACTGGGCACCGCGCCGGTGGCGGTGCGCCCTTACCGCTATCCCCAGCTACAGAAGGACGAGCTGGAGCGGCAGTGCGCGGCCATGCTCACCCAAGGGATCATCAGGCCGACCACTTCACCTTTCTCGGCGCCCATCTTGCTGATGCGCGCGCGGAAGGCGACCGTGGGCGCTTCGCATTGACTACCGCGCCCTCAACGCCAAGACGTCCAAGGACAAGTTCCCGATACCGGTGGTCGATGAGCTCCTCGATGAGCTCCATGGAGCTCGCTTTTTCACAAAGCTGGACCTACGCTCGGGGTATCATCAGGTGCGGATGCATCCCGACGACATCGCCAAGACGGCGTTCCGCACTCACCACGGCCACTTCGAGTTTCTGGTGATGCCTTTCGGGCTTTCTAATGCCCCGGCCACCTTCCAGGCCCTGATGAACGATGTGCTTCGCACCTACCTCCGGCGGTTTGTGCTCGTTTTCTTCGATGATATCCTCATCTACAGCTCGTCGTGGTCCGAGCATCTGCAGCACATCAACATCGTCCTCAGCGCCCTGCGGGCGCACCATCTATACTTGAAGCGCTCCAAGTGCTCGTTTGGGGCGCCATCCGTGACCTATCTTGGCCATGTCATCGCCGAGGGCGGTGTCGCCATGGACGCCGACAAGGTCGACGCGGTGGCGGCGTGGCCTCTACCTCGCTCGGCCCGGGGCCTTCGCGGCTTCTTGGGCTTGGCGGGATACTACAGGAAGTTCATCCGCGACTTCGGCATCATCGCGGCCCCGCTCACGCGTCTCTTGCGGCGAGACGCGTTCGTGTGGGACGACGACGCGACGACGGCTTTCGAGGCGCTCAAGCGCGCCTTGACGACGGGGCCCGTGCTTCAGATGCCGGATTTCGACGCTACTTTCGTGGTCGACTGCGATGCATCGGGTGCGGGGTTCGGCGCCGTCCTCCACCAGGGCGCGGGACCCCTCGCCTACTTCAGCAGGCCATTTGCAGCTCGCCACCTCAAGCTCGCCGCCTACGAACGCGAGCTCATCGGCTTGGTGCAAGCTGTGCGCCACTGGCGCCCGTATTTGTGGGGGCGCCCCTTCCTGGTTCGCACTGACCACTACAGTCTCAAATTTTTGCTTGATCAGCGTTTGTCTACCGTTCCACAGCACCAATGGATCAGCAAACTTTTCGGCTTCGACTTCACCGTGGAGTACCGCTCGGGCCGCCTCAACACCGTGGCGGACGCTCTGTCACGCCGCGACAGTGAGGCGGTGGCGCCTGTACCGTCGCCGGACGCCCTCGGGGCAGCGGTGGCTGTGTCTGGGCCTTCGTTTGACCTCCTCGACGCCATCAGGCGCGCTATAGCCACGACGCCGGATGGCCAGCGGCTGCTGCAGCAGCTCCAGGCCGGGGAGCTCGCGGAGCCGTGGTGCGCTGGGCAATGACCTCCTCCTCCACGGGTCTCGTATCTTCGTCTTTGGATCACGGGGACCTCCGCCACCGTGTCCTCCTGGCGGCTCATGCCGCCGCCCATGAGGGGACCCAGAAGACGCTGCACCGCCTCCGTGCCGAGTTCTACATTCCGCGGGACAGGGCACTGGTGCGCGACTTGGTGCGTTCCTGCACCACGTGCCAATGCAACAAGACGGAGGCGTTGCAGCCCCTCGACGTGCCCTCCCAAGTTTGGGCGGACATCTCGATCGACTTCATCGAGGGGCTGCCCAAAGTCGCCGGCAAGTCGGTTATCCTCACCGTCGTCGACCGTTTCTCTAAGTACGCGCACTTCATCGCGCTCGGGCACCCCTACACGGCCGCGTCGGTCGCCCGTGCTTTCTTCGACGGCATTGTACGGCTCCACGGGTTTCCGCTCTCCATCGTCAGTGACCGGGACCCCGTGTTCACCGGCCACGTGTGGCGGGACCTTTCCGAGATGAGCGGCGGCGTCAAGCTCGCGCAAAGCACCTCCTTCCACCCTCGGGACGGACGGCCACCGTCGGAGGTGGTCAACAAGGTGATTGCCATGTATTTGCGCGTATTCTTACAGTGGCCGGCCTCGGGTGGGGTGGATCGGCGTCGTCGTGGGCGAGTATTGCTACAATACTTCTTTCCATACCGCCCTCCGCCCACGCCTTTCGAGGTCGTCTCTGATGCGACCACCACCGCCGCCCATATTGCCGTACCGGTGAACGGCTCGTCTGCGAGGTCAGGCGACGCCATACTCCGCATGCAGCGACGAGATGCTCGGCGAGGTCCGTCGGCGGCTCCTTCAAGCCCAATGACTCTCCAAACGCTACTACTCGGCGCCAACCACGGGGATGTGGAGTTCCGAGTGGGGATCGTGGGTGCAGGCTGCGTCTCCTTCACCGCGCCACGCAGCGGTCCCTCGACCCTCGCTCCAAGCGCAAGTTGGGGCAGCTGCGGGCGGGCCGCGTTTAGCGTCTTTGGGCGCGACGGTCGCGTCGCCTACCGCCTCCGGTTGCCCGATGACGCCCGCATCCACGATGTTTTCCATGTGGGCCTCTGAAAGACCTGCACGGCGATCCCCCCCCTGCCGCCGTGTGTCTTGCCACCGGCTTTGGATGGCGGGGCCTGCCAGTCCGAACGCAGCGCTTCTCCCGCTCAAAGCGGCGCGGGGTGTTTGGAAGATCTTGATCAAGTGGCGCGGTCTGTCAGCAGATGATGCAACGTGGGAGTCACTCGAGGAGTTCCGCGCCGAGCACCCCGATTTCCAGCTCGAGGACGAGCCGTTTTTGCAGGCGGGGAGAGATGTTATGATCGGCATCCCCTACAGCCGTCGCAGCCCAGCTAAGGGCTAGGAAGGAAGCCGGCCATCAAAGGGCTATAGCCCATATAATTGTCGTAATTATAGTATTGCTAGAGGGTTATTTTATAATTATCGCTCTTAGAGAGACATAAATATTTGTAAGACTCTATTTGTGAGATTAAACAGAAACATATTATTGTTTCCGGCTTCCTCAGGGAGCCGGGAGAAACCTTAGCCGGGTGAAACCCTAGACGGCTCTACTGTTCATGCGTGAACAGTGCCGCCGCTACTGTAGCTGCGCGAGGGTTAGGGCTACAGCCGCAGCCGCCCATCCTCCACCACGGCGTCCAGCCGCCGGCAGCGAGGTTCCCAGCCTGTTCCACCTCCCTCTCACCCCTACAGACTCCGTGATCTACGCGGTAGGATCCGTAATCCTATCAGTAGTAGTACACTAATACTTTTTTTTATTAAACTTATAAATATATGTTCCCATTTCTCCCTATGAAAAAGATTAAGTCTTGCTTCTGTTGTTTAATATCCCACATATTGGTATTGTTGCACCCACAACTTCATTGCGTTTAGTTTTGTCAAGATAGGTTTCATTTCACACTGGATCAGTGGTAATGACTACATGTTTCTGAACTTAATATCATCCACATTGCAACATGCCTATCTGATTCGTTTTACTATTATCTTTTTCATAACCGTTTTTTAGTCAGAATTATGTGAAATTTATTTCCTTTTGTGCAGGCAATGTGCGCTTATGCCATCAGTGTATTTGGAAGAATTGCTTGGTTAGATGCCACAGCCGATTCTGCGAACAGGAAAAATGGTAAACCCTATCATTCCAACAGGGCACGCTAGATGGATCAAGGATGCTGCACATAAATTAGATTTGACAAAAAGAGGCTGGTGTTTTTCGATACTGTAGACTGAAATAATAGATTGGCTAGTTTTGCAATGAAATTTCTGGCAAATGCTCCTTCGTTTGTTGCCTATGTGAAGGCTTTGTAAGTTAGATATTGGCACAAGGTTCCTTGCCGATATTGTTGGGAAAAAAAAAAGCCTCATGATGACTCAGTTTCAACATTTTTCATATTCGTTGCAGTCAGAAGTCCACTTTTGGTGATCACAGCTGTTGACTTTAGGTACAACTTTTAGGGGACTGGATATGATTTTTTGGCCGTGTCCCCATGAAAACAGAACTCATGCTGCGGCTTATTTTTGTGACAAGGTCAGCTGGTGTAGAATGTTTTGAGCTTAGAGACCGACGCCCGCTGTCAAATGAAAACTGTTTTTTTAGTCTCTCCTGACAGCATAGCTTATCCATGATAACGTTAGCATTTGCTTTCTTGTAAGATTTGCCAAAGCTAGTTGATCAGGTTGTGCTTTCACTGGTTCACTTGTTCCCGTATATCATCAAATCATGACCTGCGTGCTCGGCTGCTCGCCACTCTTTGCTGCCTCCGCAGCAATCAACGTGGCATCTCATACGCGAGTGACGAGGCGTGCACTAGTTCTCCATCCACGGGGTACGTACGCTAGCTTCACGCCTCCCACTTTTGTGATGCGTTACTGGCTGACCTGACCTGGCAAGGACAGACAACAATATCTGATGATATAACAAAAATCTCAATCATGAATGGACCGAGATTCTGCCATGGCGCCTACCTAGCCCACGGGCGCGAAGCGGCACTGGCCTCTCATGCCAGTATGCCACCCTCGAGCGCAGCGCGGCGCGGCAGTGCGCCGTCCTACACTAGATCCGGGAACCGCCCACGGAGGACGGCGCGTCGCTTTCGCGCGCGGGGGGGGGAGCCCCACGTGCCCGCGCCGAAAGCGCTCATCATCCCCTGATCCACACCGCGGCGTTGCATCGTGGCTCCAGCTGCCGACGTCGCTCGCTCGGCTCGCCGTGCCTGCGCAACCGCGACCGGCGCTTCCTTCGTAGCAACGTCTCATTTCTCCCCATCCGTCCGCTCTCCAGCGCCCCCGGACTTTTCGTCCCTATCCGGAATTCTCCCTCGCTCTCGCCCGCCCAGCGCCCCTCTTTGTGATGTGTGCGGCATGCACGATGGCGACGTGGTGGCGTGCGTGCGCCAGTCCAGTTCCAGAGCGGAGCCCCCCGCGTGGGGTGGATTCGTGTTCGCGTCAGAATAACGGCAGCCCAGCAGGCCAGCACTCTCTCGTGTCTCGTCGCTCGCCTTTCCCCAGCTTTCTCCCCAACTCCGCCAGACGGACGGCCACTCGGGCAGTCGGGCCTCTTCGCTCTCTCTCTCTCTCTCGCCAATCCTTCCCACCCCTGAAGCCGCTCAACTGCCTCCAGATTTTCTCGAGGTGAGTGAGCTCTGTCTCTCGTGACCGAGGACCTACTTTGCGGTAGCTGACTGCTGGGCCGTGAGATTCGCAGACCGCCATGCTTGAGATTGTGCTTATCTGGTTGGCTTTTAGGGTTTAACTTATAGTGGGGAGCTAAGGATTGGTACTACTTTCTGTGGCTGCTTCTGGGTGGTTAGTGATGAAGTGGTCGTTCTTAATTCGAATTATTGTTGGGCTATTACTTTTAATCAGCACAGGTTGATTTTCTGTTGTTTGAACTTTGAAGCAGCGCAGTCTCCAATTGCTCTGCAGATTAATAGACTAGTAGGTTGGGTGTTGTTTGAAGGGAATATGGCAGATGCTCTGCCTATGCATTTATTTATTAGAAAGCAAATGGTGTACCTGCCGTGAGCTTCTTCGATTGCTTGTCAATGTTTTTGTTAGTTCGCCTAAAGCAAATGGATGAATACCTGCTTTCGTCTTATTTGGCTTCTTCGTGGACCAACTTTCATCTCGTGATTTCCAACAAACTGTTTTAGTTATTTTTTACCTTTTAATACTCTATGCAAGCGGCTAAAAATTGATGTGATGGAGAGAGAGTGAAAAAACTTGGAATTTGGATGGCATCTAAACAAGTCCTAAATGATGCTCAACAATAACAGTGCTCTGGTGTTGTTAGGCGCCTTATCAAACTGCTGTCATTTCTTTTCAGATCCTCAACTCTTTTCTCTTCAGTGTTTCTAACTGTTCGAGATTTTTTTTTAAAAAAAAAAATTGCAGGCTGAAATTTTGGTGTCCTGCTTCAGCCATGGGTAGCAGGAGGTATGCCGTGCTTGTACCTTCTGTAGCAGTTGACGATTTTGTTTCTGATACAACATCATGACATGATCAATGCAAAAATGGCAGATACGGCCTCGATACGAGGAGATGTGGGATTCACTCAGCACCAAGTAAATCAATGTATCTGGATGCTCAACAAGTTGTCAGCTGCCAAGCCACAGTGAGAGACCACGATGTTGGTTCCTGCGCTGTGAAGCATCACTTCCCGTCTCCAATTGTATCTTGGATAGAAGATCTTTCGAGCTTTGGCAATGCTTCTTTTAGCTCTGACTCTGAATATGTGGATGAGCAAGCCAGAGCTTCAGTGGGACAGTCTTCAACATCAAGTAATTTGCATGATATGCAAATAGTACGTTCCCTTACATTCCCCATCTTTTTATTTAAAAACATACAGTGTCTCTTGGAGGCTGGTACAAACTGAAGATTGAGATGAAATAACATCCTTATGCATGTTATTCAGTCAGTGAGATTGACAGACGAATTCATGGAGCTTGCAAAGGAGAATACAAGCAAAAATCTAGAGACTTGTGGAATTCTTGGTGCTTCATTTGTAAGTGCAGTCGGCAATAAATTACCAATGTGACAAACATACCTAATTTTCAGATTAGATCTTGAATATTTTATGTTTGTATGCAGAGGGATGGAACTTACTTTGTGACAATGTTGATTATACCGAAGCAAGAAGGAACTGCTCACTCAGTATGCAGTAATTGAGTGGTTTCGAACATATACTTAATATATTATTGTTAGATTATTAAATGTCCTCACAAATATCTAGCTATGCCATTCTGAAGTCTTCCTCTCTTTTTTTTTTTCCAAATACAGTGCCAGGCTGTTAGTGAGGAGGAGATACATGCCGTGTTATCAGAGCAGTCGCTTTACCCTGCAGGATGGATTCATGTATATATTCTAGCATTTCCATACTTCATGAACTTCGTCTTCGTTGCTGGTTCAGTTGAAATGAAAAAAAATGTACATACAAGTTATGTGCTTCACCTAATCTGAAAAGATAAATAAGCTGATACCTGTGCTAGATGCTTTCATTGTTGCAGCGTGTAACCTCATTCATCATGTACACATAGTTTTCTTTCTTTCTTTTTGCAGTTGAGGGCCAAGCCGCCTTCTTTCATTTTGGCTTGCTGCAATTCTTTCTTCTAATCAGTGAAATTTGCTGCCCTCCCGCTATTTTTCAGGAAAAAATGTTCATCAATTTAGCATTGACACTCGCTTTTAATAAAGTTGGACGAAACATATTTAGTTCATCTAGAAAGTAACAATTATTATCAAGATGAACATTCAGACAGTCAGATTATTGCTACATCGAGACATGTTTTGGCAATTATATTGAATCGATAACATACAACATTCATCGCAGAAAATACTACATATAACATGCCTTTCTTGCATTAGCCATATGAAGGAGCAGTAGATAATGTACTGGATTCTTTCTGAGAAAAGCAACATGCTGACCTTGGCATCCTGCCCCATAGTAGTATGATAGTGGCATATTTCACATGGAATCAGAATTATCAGGATATTGTTGTTATCTTGAGTCCTTCATAATAAGCGGCAAGGTGAAATTTCATAATTTATTCACTTGTTCTATATACTGTCTCTGCTGTTTTGACTATGTTGCATATATATAAGAAAGATGCATGTGTCATCATAAATACACCCAGAACAGTGAATTCATGCAATAAGTAGTAATCTACTCCCTCCACTTCAAATTGTAAGTCATTTTAGTTTTGTCCTAAGTTAAACTTGTCTAACTTTGACCAAGTTTATAGAAAAATATATTAACATCTACAATATATCAAATAAATGCATGTCAAAACATATTTCATGGTGTATCTTTCCTGTAGACTTGGTCAAAGTTAGACAAGTTTGACTTAAAACAAAGCTAAATGACTTAGAATTTGGAATAGAGGGAGTACCTTTATAAAAAAAGAATGAAGAAAGAGTGATATCATGTCCAATTCAAATTCAACTTGACTTGTTTTATCACCGCAGAGCATGGACCTCATCTTCTTTACTATTTGAACATTCTTGCTCTTAAATTCTTTTCTAGTGTACTTCAAGTATTGGACAGAATGGTCACTTTTCGTTAACTGTTCCTGAGAATTGACACTTTTTCCCCCTTTTCCAGACTCATCCTTCACAAACATGCTTTCTATCATCGATCGATTTGCATACTCAGTACTCTTACCAGGTAATTAAATAATCTGTGCTGAGTTGATCTACAAAAGGGAAGGTGTTTTTTATATTTATATAAAATGATAGGACTTTTAAAAGTATTCAATTTTTTATGTGGCAACTTCCGCTTGAATGATCTGCTGTCAAACATCAAATTATTGACATGATCTTGCCATAGAGTTTGGTCTCAATGTAATCTTTTTGCACTTACTTAGATGATATATGGTATTACATGGTTCCTTAATTGACGAGATGATATCTTTAGGTACCATGAGTATCTAGATGCCCCACTGATTTGCATAAATCAGCCATACAGAATCATAGACACTGCCACACATTTAAAGATAGCCAAAGATTGTGGTCTTGGTGATTAGCTAAAAAATTTAACTTATTTTTCACCCTGATATCTGAAAACTATGCCCTAACCTTTATTTAGTAGCCATTAGGCTTAGAAGCTGATATTTGTCGGTTACATACCTTCCCCTCGTGTCCTGATTAAAAACACTAGTCGAATACTGAAAAGGCAGGCCAACGGATACCATCTATTTTTTAAGTTTTTGTGGTCACTGGTTGTGAATATAATCACATCGTACAAGTAGCAACAGTGCTTCAACAATTTGCATATTTCAATTCCGTAGAATAAAAATCATTTACCTAGCGGAAGGATATTAAGTTATTAACTAACACCAGGAATGATCAACCGTGCTCCTAGAGTTAGCAAAATCATTATTTGACCAGTTAGCATTTTCATGGTTGTACTAACATTGAGAATAACTTGCACTGTAGCTCAGAATTATTAAATACTTCTGTGAGACTGAGACACTGTCAACTCAGAACTTCAAGCTGACTCTTTCACCTGCTTTCACTTTGTTATCACACTTTGCCGTGCCTTTTAACTTTGATTGATGAAAAATGCTGGATTCCCGTAGGTTATGCTACCAGAGGCTGTTGCAATTGTGGTCGCACCCACAGATCCAACCAGGCAAGTGTTCTTTGCTAACAACTACTACACTTGCACATAAAGTGCCTGTCATACATCTGCAGTTCCTTTGTTCTTAATTGCTTTTGGTCCTACCTTCTGGTTCTGGGTAATATACTAATATTCAGTCATACTACACTTGTAGAATGAAATCTGAAACTACCCTTTTTGTTTCTCAAATCTTTCAGGAGTTATGGGATATTCAGGCTGACTGATCCTGGAGGGATGGATGTGCTTAGGGAGTGTGATGAAAGCGGGTTCCACACTCACCGAGAGACAACCAACGGCAGTCCAATCTATGAAACCTGCTCGAAAGTGCACTTCAACCCCAATTTGCGATTTGAGATTGTTGACCTGCGCTCCGTTCAATGATCAATACAGCTGAAGCTATAACAGCATGTGCTTCTTTATGCTCCCTCTTGGCAGAATTATATATCATAGAGCTTGCTGAATGCCTGATAGGTATAGTGGTAGCCCCAAACCGGAACCAAGATGCTCATGGTACTTTCTGTGATATAGTGATAGCAACAAGCCTCCAGCATCTGCGCTGGTATTCGTCAGAAAAAAAGGAGTAACTGAAAACTAGCACGGGTTGTCTTCAATCTGCCTGTTCGGTCTGCCTTTGAGCTGGTACTGTAAGTAGTACTGTATATAACATACAACTGAGGCAAAAATACACTGATTAACTTGGTCTGGACTGAAGTGTGATTGTAACATAGCGGTCGACTGTGGCACTCCCAAATTACTTGCTGATTTGTCAGTGACTGGAGTATGAAAAAACACAAAATTTGGCAGTTCCTAAATTATGAAATACACAGCCTCGAGATCTCCGGGAGTCTCAGTCTCAGGGTACTTTAACATCGGAACTTTCTGAAAACAGAGGCGAAACTTAGAGTCGTAATGGTAAATTGTGGCTACTGAAATGGGGTGCGCGCGCTTAAACACACTAAGCCACTGTTGGAGCCCGAGGCACATGCCCACATCGCCTTGTGACACTTTTAGCTCTCGTTTTCAGGCAAGAACAACTGAAACTTTACCCCGCTCATCCAGGGCGGTCTATCTGATGTTTTGCCGGCTGAATACTTTTAGCCAAAGTATGGTCAAATGATTTAATATCCATGTGTGATGTGTCTATTAGTCAGATCATTATCAGTTAGCTAGTGCATTTGCTGCAGCTGAACTCCTTCCCACATGGGCCGCATGAATGGCTTGTTTTAAACATAGCGGGACAGCCGGACAAGCGAGCAAATCCTACAGCAGACTACGGCTATCGGCAAAGGGAGGCTAGCAGATGAATCGCACAGCCTGTCTTATAGAAAGAAGGGTTATCATTATTCTTTTATGGGGAAGAAGAGAAGGTGAATTGCACAGCAAGGAACTAGTAGCAGCTGTAGGCAAGGATGGAGGAGAAATGATTCTGTCTTTCAAAAGGGGCGTCGACAAGAAGAACCCGCTAGATACTGAAACGACCTAATTTTCACGAAGGAAAATCCACAGCGTCGAAATGTAATAAGATCGTTGTAGATCATATTATTCAAATTCCAATTAAATATCACATCCATACAACGTAATATCAGAGTGCAAATAATGCGGAATTACATAAATTATTACATCGCCGCATCGGCGAAATCAAAAGTAGCATTCATTCAGAACAGCTTGAAGACAAGATCGCCAAACTCGAGCGTAGGAACGAACCCCTCAACCGTCAAACTCCTCAGAGTTATACTCCTCAGCAGAACCTGTGTGCCAAAATTTATCAGTGCGATTTGTACTGGCCACTCCCACCCTATGAGCATTGCTTTGTGGAAATTGGATGCAAATTGGATATATTCAAAAGAAACATATAAGGCTATGATTTTCTATGTTTTAGCATATCAAGTGTATATAATAATAGTTGGTCAAGTTTTAACACCAATCCCATACCCATACCACCCCATTTCTGTCCAGAGCCAGGTTTCGATCCTAGGATCGATATACCACCATCTCCACATTATCACCACATCACCACCATACCATCGCTCAGTCGACAGGCCAACTCTTTCTCGGCACTGTCTCATGGCCTGTAGCCCCTGGCTACGTCCGAACACTCACTCCCAGGGGGAGAAGAGAAGGACTCATCTCACTATCTAGTTTAAGCGAAACCCAGAAAAGTTCCATAGCCAACAAGTCGGCATATGTATCGATCGATCAACCATACACTCTGCAGAGGTTTTACATAACCACAAGATCCGCCTTCCTCGCTGACCGTCGTCAACTGGGCTGATTCCGACCGCTTGCTAGCCTAGGATAATGCCACCCTACCTTTCAGCCCTGGTACACCCCAAGTCTGGTCTGGGGTGGCTGAAACTGTGAGTCATGAGCCGGGTCCACAAGGTCTCCATGAAGTCTCGAAAGGGTGTGGGGGGAAATCCTCCGCGCCCCGTACCTCCCTCGCACTGTCCGCTATCAACCTAGCAGTAGTGGCAATATCCTACCAAGTAGTCCGGTCGTCCCGCACCATATAGGGCGAGTGGTACGTAAGGCTTCCCGGTGAATCTGAATACTAGTAAGTCCTTAGAGATGACCAAGCCAGAATGTCTTCATCGGGGTTTTCATTTACCGTGCCACCACAGCACCTCCACCCTGGGCTCCTCCCATCACAGGTTCACATCTAGGGCCACCTCATATACCATTTACCCACCACAGGTATCCATTTCCAGGGGAGCCCAGGTAGCACCCCACGGCAAGACTTGCCCCAGGCTCGTCGTATACTCCAACTTGGTCGACACAACCCTCTCCCTCCACGCACCCAAGTCATACACGCAGCACTCTCCCCATAGTCCAGATAACACCAGTTTCCACCACGCATCAATATAGTACAAGCGTAGTAGAAGTAATAAGCAATGAAATGTAGTAGCAAGCGTGTGTCTAGCCTAATGGCAGGGTAAGCAGGGGTAAGGTTGCGTCAAGGTAAAGGCCATCAAGTAAGCACACTACCATGCAAGTCCTATCTTAGTGTGAGTATAACAATAAAGTAAAGCAATAGCAGTTCTATATTAGCCATGCGTAATAGGTGCTACGAGGTTGGGTGGGATGTGGCACCTTCAGTGAAGTCGTCTCCGTACTCCTCACGGTACTCTCGGTCCTCGTCCGTCTGGTTCTCCTCCGAGTCTGCATACGATCGAATTATAGTTGCGTTAGCGACGTCTATAGAATAGCACAAAGAAGCAATGAAAATTCAAAAGAGTCAAATGCACTCAAACATGGGTTCATTGCGTAGAGCTCGATTTTAGATGAATTTTGGTCCTGGTCTTGTATTTTTTTGAGTTCGTATGAATTAGTTATGAATTTCCGAAGATTAAATCCATTTCTAAAAATATTAAGGCTGATTAATTCAGGGCTGACACGTGTCACACTGTGACTGGTTTACGTGGCATGTAGCGACTTGGAGTGGTGTATCGGCTGGTGAGGTGGTCGGAGAGGTCACCGAGGTGGTCGGAAAGGTCGAAGCGATGGTCGGTGAGGTCGCCAAGGTGGTCGGTGAGGTCGCCGAAGCGGTCGGCGAGATCGCCAAGGTGGTCGGAGAGATTGTCGAGGTGGTCTGTGAGGTCGCCGAAGTGGTCGGCGAGATCGCCGAGGTGGTCGGTGAGGTCGCCGAAGTGGTCGGAGATATTGCCGAGGTGGTCGGCGAGATCGCCTAGGTGGTCGGAGAGATCGCCGGAGTCCCCGACGCTGGCGTGGTCACATCTTCGGCATGACGTCAGCATGGCGCCATCAGAGCTAAATCGCGGCTGACAGGTGGGGTCCTGCTGACATCAGCATGATGTCATCATCTTAGTTGGTCACTGACAAGTGGGTCGAGGTCAAACGGTGACTGACAGGTGAGGCGCGGTTCATGGTGAACCCGCCTGCATTGGTCCATAGACCGCAGAGCCGGTTTATGAAGGACTTGGTCCACTTACTCCTTCCTAGGGTTCGGTTCACGTGCACCAAGTGCACAGACGTGTGGCCGGCGAGAGGAAAATCCCCATCTTCTTCCCCGGCGTGCTCCCGCCGATGGTGAGCTCACCGGCGAGCCCCTCCAGTGGCGGGGGTGTGCAATTAAGGTGGGCAAAAAGCTTAGCCTTGCCATGGCGGGTGCCCCGGTGAAGTTAACGTGGTGGCCGGGCGCGGCTCAGGTTATCGCAGCGGTGGCGGCGGTCTCGTACACCGGCGGCGGCGGTGTGGTGGTGGCGGGCGGCGGCGATGCGAGAGATTGGTGGTGCGCACGAGCTCCCTGACGCTGCTACGACCACGGCGAGCAGGTCGAAGGGGCTCCGGGAGCTCTCAACGCCTCCGACCATGGTGGTGGGGGCAAAACGGAGGCGATGGCGCTTCGACGAGGTGCGGTGCGGCAACGCAGGGCTCCGGTGGGCTTCATCCTCGGCTAAGGTGAGCGCGGTGTGTCTCTTGTCATGGCGGAGCCAGTCGGGGTGTCAACGTCGCCTTTACCGCGACGTAGAAGACGCGGTGGTCTCGCCATGGTTGTGCTCTCGGACATGGCGTGCAGGGTGGTCGTGCCGGTGTTCCCGAGCCGCTAGGGGTCGGTGAGGCCAAGCATTGGGCTTGTGCGTGTGCGGTGCGTGTGCAGCGTGTCTAGGAGCGGGAATGCTCCGCCTCTGCGTTCCCCAGGTGTGGAAACGCGGTGGCGTTCATGGCGAGTACGGCTAGCGCGGTGAGCGGCGAACGACGTGGCTCACCGTAGGTTTCGTGGCGGTAGGATGGCGGTGCGGTGGCAAGGCGAGGCCGTGATGAGGCGATGCGGTGCCGTGCCGAGCAGCTACGTCGCTGTAGCTATCGGGGCGGCGCTCCTGGCTCCGACGAGGTCCGGTTCTGCAGCGGCTTCCTTCTCCTCCTTGCTTCTTCCTCCTCCCTCTCTCTCGGCTTGACGTGGTGTGGTGCTGTGCCACCAGCGGTGGCGGCGAACGGGCTGAGGGTTAGGGCTCGCGGTCGTTGGCTTTTATAGCCGAGCTCCAAGGGCTCCAATGGCGGATGGCGATCGGACGGTGGTGATGCGTCGGGCGATCGGCGACCAGCGTCTTGATGGCGTAAGCGAGGCGCGCGCATGGGGGAACAGGGTCATGCTTCTTGCGTGACACCCTGGTCCGCGCCTGCCACGCTGGTCGGCCCTCGGTCGCATGGTGGAGGGAGCGTGGGGAAGACGACGACGCTGGGTCGGGCAGGGGTGAATGAGAGGGGGGCCCGCTTGTCGGCTTGTCCCGATGCGGCGGCGTCGTCTTGCGTGATGGTACCGACGGTGGGTCCGACTCGTCGTCTGGCTTAAGATGTGCTTGTGGGGGTTGGCCGGGGTGTTCTTGGGCCAGCCGTGGGCAGCGTCTTGCGAGTGGAAGGCC